CTCATCTGAGCACTGTTAAGCTCTTTTGAACGTCCTATTTGCCATTAGAAAGCAGTCCTCTTCATTATACTGTCTGCACAGAGCCACCTGCGCTTTTTTTTGATGGATATGAGAAGTAAGACCTAATATCTGCCTTTCTCATATCATGATAGGTGATGCTTGGCCATCATCAAAACTTTTAGAGGAATGTGTGAGGAAATAGTATCAAGAAATGTATTTTAAATTATTGTGGCAGCTTCAATTAAGTGAAAAAATATTTATGTGAGTGCTGTATTTGTGAAATTTAGGGGGTTTAACAAAGAAATTATTCTTAGAAAGGTGAGTCTTTTTGAAGTGAAAGAAAGTTTTTCCATAAATATAATTTTCTGACTAAATAACACATATGCAACAATTTTATGACAAGTTTTTTTGTTATGAACATTAGTTATGTTTCAGTGTACCTCATGCTAAATCTTCCCCTTGAGTTACAAAGCCTCCATGATATATTCCACAATGTATTCACTACTGAGTATCTGTTGTAACACATCTATGACAGTATAGGGTTTTCACTGTCTTGGTATTATAAAATGTTAAATGAGTACTGATACAATTCAAAGAGCAGATTAGAAATAATGATAGCTTTACTTAGGTTTAAAACTTAGCTTTAAAGCATACGAGAGGTTAAATCAGGGCTACAATCTCTATCCAGTATATGAATAATAAGATAATACAAATTCTACTGTTGTTCTAAACCAGTCATGCCATAAAGAGTTCTCATATTAAATTCTATGAGTGAAGTATTTTATAAAAATGCTAATTAAGGTTTAGCAAAATCTGTTTTGCTTTGCATTTACTTTTAAAAAATGTCTGTTCAGCATGGAAAAATAGGAACATGGCAGATGTTGTGGAAAAATCAGCATCTATTGAGGGTTTCAAGTGTTCCTAAAAAAGACTCCTACTGCCTTTTTGAATAAGATCAAAAGAAGAGAAATTTTAAGAAGGAAAAAAGAAAGTCATTCCAGTGAACAGAAAATTAAATAGCATATGCATCTATTTTTTAAACAATCAGCTGCTGTAAGTGATGCGCATTTTGTTCTGTTATTAATAGCTTAAAGCTTTATTGTACTTCTGTTTTAGTGGTTTTGAGTATAAGAAAAAAAAAAAAAAGCAAAATGTGAGGGAAAAAAAATCCTACTGATTTGGACAAAGTTGAGAGATTGACCCTGACAACATTATGTAGGACTAATAGTAAATATGAGGGGGAAAAAACAGACTAAATTTCAAGGCATTAGTAGGGAACTGTAATATTTCTGTGTTTACAGAATGAATAGATTTACAGGTAAATGCATAAAAATACTTTCCTGAAAGTTTCCTATGGTTTAGATCATTGTATTGCCCAGTTCCACGTCTGTTTTCATTGATTTAAAAAAATCCACTTTTTTAAGATATTAAAATAACTCCAGAAATAAGAAATGAGAGGCAAAGATCTCAAATATGTAATCCAATGCCATTTCAATTTAAAAATTAAAAGGTGAAAAACATTTTACATCACCTCAGATGCTGTCAAATGGACAACTGCACATCACAGTTTTTGTTTTTTTGTGTTTTTTTTTTTTTCCTGTAATATACAAATATTTGTATTTGTAGTAAGTTCAATAGTATTTGCATAAATATTTGCATAAATAAAATGTTAGTCTTATGGGAGTTAATAATTTACCTCTCAAAAATCATTGATTTCTGCAAGAGCTTGGTGAAAATGGATGGCTTATTCCAGGCTTTTTTTCTGAAGTATTTAATTTTGTTCTGGACAAGGCTTTCATTATTATGGAAATTAATTATTACTCCTCCACTAGATTAGATATACATATTTGATTTGTTTGAATAACAGAGACAAATTCTCTTGAAATTTTTTCTGGCTCAGCTTTGCTTAGATAGATCCCAACTAGTGCTATTTGCAACATATCACCACTCTGTGATGGGGAGGACAAGGAACAAAGGATGAGTGGTTATCTTGCTTTTAGTGTTCCCTTTCCTAGCTAGCTTTCTTTTGCTCCCTAGTCACCCAAATGTGACTGAGCAGAGATACAAGATTTATGAGAGTGAGGAACTTGTCTGGATGCAAGTTGGAAAAGAAAATCCCAGTGTTTCCAGCTCAGCATTTGCACAAGGTTGTGGCAGAAATATTTACTAAATTCTTGTATTATTAAGGAGATTGGACTTGATAAGAAGCAAAGTATAGAAGAAAGAGGGAGATCTGTTTCCACTTACAATATACCCCAAATCCTATATGCCTTTGCTTGACAGATATAATTATATGGAATTCACAGTGATGTCATGATACTTCATCTTTTTATTCTCTTTCTTTAAAATTGGTATTGTAAATGAAATATCTTATAATTGCTGGGAAAAAAAAAAAAAAAAAAGAAAAAGAAAAAAAAATCCCTCACTACTTTCATTGATGGTATAATTTTGAGGGTTTTGTTATGTCTTATTGCTGTAGTAGATAGAGTTCCACAAATTTCCATTCTGCACAAGACACAGTAAGAAACAGATGGCCTTATGCTTAAATAGAAACAAAAGATAGGGTCGAAGACAATAAAAACTGTAAAAACATAATCATACTTCATCTTAGATCTCAAGACAGTAGGAGTTTAACTTCTAATTCAGTGCATTTTCTTCTCTGCTACATTTCCTACATGTGTATCTGATAGTCTTGGAATATTTTTCTTTTGCATATTGTACCCAACAACAAAAAATGTTATTGTTTTCTTGATTCAGTTCATAATACCACATTTTAGATGCCCAACTTGTCAATGGCATTTCATCAGACAAACTTCTTTTACAATCTGGAGAGTAATAAGCACTTCTGTTGTGCAATTCACCTTGTTCTACAATAAATATCTAAATCAGAAAACCTATGGGCTAGGACTTCCTGCTTTTCCCATGTAAGCCTAGTAGCTGAGACATACAAAAAGAATTTTAAGTTCATGAATATTGGAGAGCCAGGAGGGGAACAGCTGTTACTGTGTTGTAAACCAGTAGGGGAAAAAAAAAAAACAAAAAAAACCCAACACACACACACAAAGAGTTGTACAAATGTTTTTTTCATAAGAATCAGTGTAGTAATGTTGAAAACATTTTATATGAAAATTCAGGGCAGACTAGGTATGTCTGAATTTGTTTACAAGGAGAAAACCTGCAGTTTCAGAGTACTAAAGTATGAAGACTGAAAAAAAATCTGTTTTAGAAGACATTGTGCATTAAACACTATATGTAATTATGAAAACTATATTTACTTGCTTCAACTTAAAAGCTAGAATACTAAAACCTAAATGCAACAATTTGGATTGGTTAGCAAGGATTTTAACCCTATTTAGCAGCAGGCTACGTGAGATTTTGCTACCCAGCAAGTCAGGTAATAGAGTTTTGTGATCTGGCAACTGCAATATCTTAACTAAAAAATGTAAAAGTTAAGGATTTGTATTAGCAAATGACTTATAATTAATTAAATATTTATTTAATTGTTATTTTATATTGGAAGTTCTTTATGTGATTATCACAGATTATGCTATTTATTTTCTTTCTTACTGTCAATTTCTTCTTTTCCCCATTAAAATAATTATTTCTGGTTCTTTGTCTGCAAATTGAAAGTTATAAAATAATGTGTATCAAGACAGTTAACTTTCCAAGGTTTCTAAGTGGTATCTTGAGCCAGTATTTGTTAGTGGTCCTAGAAACTTAGCCTGTCTTTTGTAGATACTAGTCATGACTTGACAGAAGTATCTCACATCTAGAAAACTAGTTCTTGTGGTAGATTTTTGTATTGTATAAATCTAAAATGAGGTGAAATGAAATCCAAGGAAACAGCTGAGACAGATAGTGATAAAGGAGTGCTCCAAGCAGCTACTCTGCAGTATGATCATAGATCAGAGCCCTGTGGAACACTGTGATGTATATTAATAAATAAGTGTAGACAGGGTCTAAATGCCCAGAAGATGTTGATAAAATCTGGTTGAGATAGCAATCAAAGAATGCCTTTGGCAGTGTATGACAAAACATTGCATTGATAGCATAGCAAATGAGGACAGTGTTCCTTATCAGTTCCTGATACATGTGAGGGAAGAATACATAAAAATATGTGTAAGAAAAATGGAAGGAGAATGCTAAATATTGGTCACAAAGCTAAAAAGATAAACATTTTATCCTTTTAATCCAAAAAAGTTACAGACTTTCACATAAAGTAATAATCACAAAAGCCTCTCTTTCTGCTAAATTATCTAAGCCCATTTAATATACTTAAAAATTCAACAATTATTTTAACAAGTTTGCTGTCAAGTGATGTGGACACTGGGAATCATGTCATGTGGACACTGAATCATCAAGTGATGTGGACACTGGGAATTCCACTAAAGAGTAACTCCAACATGAGTGAACTGGATATCTCACTCATCAGAAACCTATCATAAAGTAGTTTTTTACTTACTAAGACACACAGTAAGTCAGAAGTCAGAACTTCTGTAAAGCAGATAGGACTCTAAACTGAATATTTATGAACGCCAACCTTTGCTATTTTCTGCCCAGAGGTCATGTTTTTATGGTGTCCTATATTCAGTGACATGAAATAATATTTTATCCTTCAAGAAATTACATATTGTTAACCATTTCTTTACATTCACGGATATCCCCCTCTTTTTTTTTTTTTTTTTTTTTTTTTTTTTTTTTTTTTTTTTTTTTTTAAAGGGACAAACTATGGCAGATTAACACAAATTTATTCTAGCATTTATTTACTATAATTGAAATATTTTTGTAGATGTATGATATTGATATAAGAATTTAGATTTTTGGGGAGAGAGTTTTCTGGATGCTACCTGTAAATGACCTCCTATGCATGTATTTATTTATTTATCTATTTATTTATTTATTTATTTATGTTCACACATGCATACACCCGAACACACAGATAACTAGACAGACAGATGCATGTGCACACACTGCCATGTGCACTTAAGATACATACTTACTCATCATGTGTTCTTTTTCATTGGAACCGAGCTGAGAGACCATACCAATAATTTCTGTTACTCAAGGTACCAAATGTTGTGTCAGGCCAAGGTCATAAAATACATGTGCAAACACTTAGTTGATATAAGTAAAATTTCTTTTTATACGATACCAGATATTCCATCTGTGTATACCTCCAAGTTGCATCCTAGATTCATGTCAGAAATAGATCAGTCACATACCAGTTCCCTCCCATTTTCTTGTTACTTGTTTTCTATAGAGAAAACAGACAACATGCAAGTTCCTTAGAAATTAGGGTACTACCCAACAAATCCCCAACATGGTCAATCAGTGGACCAGTCCAAGTGTACCCAAAAGCAGACACACTTAGACACAAGTGAAGTATGCTAAAATATGTGGGGTTTGGTTTAAAGGATTGTTCTACTAGGTGAACTGGCATAGGTTTTCAGTATGTAATACTGCAACACTTTCTTTTTTGTGATTTTTTTTTTTTCCATAAAATTCGTAGTAAGTTGCCTATTATGAGGATTTTTCTTTTATATATTTTGTTTTCAGTTCAAACTTCTGAATATATTTGAGTCTGTTATTTGTAAACTGAGGCATGTTTTGTTTTGCAGACACCTCTTTGTCATGTATAAACTTGCTGGAAAACAATTATTTAAAATACTGTTCTAAAAATATAATAAAAAATCCAGGATACAGAAAACATGTACAAAACCTTAGGGAACGGGTCTTAACAACATCTAGTACCTGTTCTAGGGTAAGTTTCTGACAATATCTCAAACACTGGTCACTAAAACTGTTTGTGGGACTAATATGTCACTATCAAAATGCATTATACAAAACATCAGAGACTGATGAAAATAGAATGCTATCACACTGCAACAGCTTGTAATTATTAAAGTCTGCACTTGAAATCTTGACTAGTAATGTATTTTTTAACAGATTTCATAAATACTACTCTATTAAAAAATGTTCATAAGATTTTTTAAAGGTGATATAACCTTAGCTAATGTTGCTTAGTTTTTTTTTATCATTTTTATTTTCTTCCATTTTGATAAGCACTAATCAACCTTAAGGTTGAATGCAATTTTATAGAAGCAAGCAGACTAAAAATGTTCAGCTTTCAATCAAATTTCAATAAAATATATTGATATTAAACCTTAAATTACATTTAGTCTCCTTTCATACACTAAGAAGATTTGTTTTATTTACCTTTATGCATGTCCAAATGTTTTTGTCATGGCTAACAACAGCTTTGTAACAGCTGTGCATTTGTTAAAAGTATTGTTCGTGTCTGTTTTAAGCTTGAAGCAGAATGATTGGGAATAATTGCTGAAGTCACATTTAATAATTTGTGTGTGCCTTTTTCTTCCAATTTATGTTTTCTTATTTTCTCATGACTGCTTAAGGACCATAATTTGATTAACATCTCTACTACTACTTCTGTTGTTCTTGAAATACCTTCACTTCAGTATCCTGTCCAATCTTGGACTATGCTCCCACTTCCAGTTTTTACTCATTTGCGCTGAATTTTGAACTGCCCTCATGAATTCCAGATACATTCACTTCTACATTCCATCAACCCCTCAGCACTGTATATGATACTACACTCTTCCCAGTGTCTTGTCTCCCTTTTTCTGTCTCAACAGCAAAAAAACAGGAAGCCTGATAAGGCATCTTCCTTCTATGTATTCATCAGTCCTTTTCACAGTTATGTCCTCAATCTCTCTATGTTTCCCCAAACTCATCTTAGACATTTCCTCAAACACTTTTTTCTTCACTCTGCAGGTCCTCAAGTCATTCTTCCTGTCTCTGGTGAGCCCTACAGGCTCTGCAATTATAAACTCTGTGCTCACTAACAAATTAGTTTATAAATATTTATACATGTTTAAAGCAGATAACTTACAATTTTCTGTTTATATAGTCAAAATACCTCTTTCTGCCTTTGTATGCACACTAAATCCATTTCCTCATGACTTTCAAATTCCTAATATAAGCAGTATCAGCTGGAAGCTAAAGCAATACTTCCTAAACTAAAAGGAAATTTTTTTAAAGTCTCTTTTTTACCCAGTGTTATAGATTTGAATTTGAATTGTGCACTCTTTTGTACCTCTTTGCCTTAAATTAAGCACATGTTAAGGTTTCTTTCTGTTTTCAGATCACACAAATCTGTGCTAGGATAAAAGAAAAACTGTCTTAAAACCATATAACTCATTATATCTAATAATATGTAACACCAAAACTCAAAGAAAAACCAAAATTTTCTGCAAACAAAATCTGCAATGACGAGTGTTATGGAGAATCACAAGGTCTGTTTCTTCATCAAGTTCATAGGACAAGGATTGTTAATAGGAAATTTTTGCAGTGCTCCATGTAGACTGATTTCTGCTGCTGTGAAATATTAGGATAAATGCATATGAAAAAGGTGAAAGTATTCAGGAAACATCTGAAAGTGAGGTATAGTTACTATTACATAAAATGTCTATACATATACACTGAATTACTCTAATGTAGTCGTTTAAGTGTACAAATAATATCAGATCCAAAAATAATTTTAAAAATATGTCCAAACAATTTGCCATTTCTATTTCCAGCTAAAATCTCCTCATTGTGATAAATGTTTGCTTACGCACTTACTAAATGGAATAACCTTAAACATATTTTGCAGTCTGCTAGAAGTGCTACGCTCAATACAATCTACTGTACAGTCTGAGTGTTTCTGTGTAGACAGAGGCAATAACAGGCTTCTTTGGTATCTACCATTCACAAAAAGAACTAAAAAAGTTTAAAGACATAGTCTTTAAATTTTATAATTTGATACCTTGAGAAAACTATTAAAAAAAAAAAAAATCATACGAGTTTTCTTAATTAAACTTACATTAAAGTAATAAAATATAATATTACATTAAAAAAAAAAAAGTAGAAATGAAATAAAGGACAAAGTAGAAGTACTGTTCATTTAGTGAAAAATATATCAGATTTGTGATATTTCAAGCTTTCAGCTGAGGCTTGGTTAATGAAAAATAATTGAGGAAGGCAATCCATGTTTCCAGTCAGTGATATGAATGCTTCAAACTGAAAACACTGAATAATGATAATGATGGTAATGCCACCAGTGAAAAACTGCTGCTTTTCAGCTATCAAAGACAGGTGGGACCATTAATTTCCAAGCACAATGGGGATCCTTCCTGAAAATCTAATGATGCAGACTGGCCTCTAGTGATTGTCACATAATAGGTTGAGAAATAAATTCCAGATATTAAGTTGTTGAAAGACATAAAATTTATCAAAAAGACATTGCCCACAGTGTTCTCAGCTGCAGTTATATGTCTTGGAATGCATAGTTGTGTATAATATTTTTTTAAGAGACTAGTTTGAGTCACTACAGTTTCAATTTAAGGTGATTTTGGAAGCAGCTCTAGAAAAGGACTCTAGTATTTAAAAAATGTTTTCAATTAAAGTATTAGCTATATGGATATTTAAATCTTTTTCTTTGTTGAATTCATGATCATGGAAGGATATTCTTCCTAACGTCAGCACACATCTGCTGATCTCTTTACCATACACTGTTAGCAGCTGAGAATAAACTTTTGCATTTGGAATCCAGGCTATAGAGCAAAAATCTGTTAAACTTCAAAAAATTATTTTTGGACTATTTGGAAAATCATGAATTGATAAAGTGTTTATCATTCATAGCACTTAACACATACAGCACAAAGAGAAATGACACACTGATATACAATTTATTTTAGTTCCAAATATGAATTAACTCAGTGAAATTAAGAACTGTACTTATGTGAAATTGAATTAATTTGAACATATATACTGGGAAATCATTTATGCCTTTGAAAGCACATTTGGAGTAGTCAGTAAGAAATCAAGACAGGCAAGCCAAAGTATAGTCCACAGCAGAATTATGGAGACAGGCATCGATAAATAAAAATAACAACAAAAAAAGCTTTTCCTGGAATTAGAGTATCTGTGAAGAAGAAAGAAATCAATGGAAAGAATGTAGTTTCTCCTTTGAAGTTCATCTTTTTTTTAACTCAGACTGAGAGAAGAACTCGCAAAGAATGCAAATGCAGTCAGCTATGACAGGATCTCTGACATAGTTCCCATCTACTTAACCTGTATCTTACTTTCTTCTATTCATTGTTGTATTCCTTTGCATAGTGTACTGACTTGGGCTGAGTTTTCTTCATAGTAGCTTGTATGGTGCTGCGACTTGGATTTGTGGTGAGAACAGCGTTGATAACGCACCCGTGTTTTAGTTACCACCGAGCGGTGCTTATATAGGGTCAAGGCCTTTTCTGCTCTTCACACTGCCTCATGAGTAGCCTGGGGGTGGGCAAAAGGTTGAGAGGTGATACAGCTGGGTCAACTGACCTCAACTGACCACAGGGATATCCCATACCATATGATGTCATGCTTAGCAATAAATTCTGGAGGGGAAGAAGGACCAATGGGGAGTTACAGAGTTTGCCTTCCCACGTAACTGTTACTCATGATGGAGCACTTCTTTCCTGGAGATGGCTGGACACCTGTCAATGGGTGGCAAGTAGTGAATTAATTGCTTGTTTGACTAGCCTGAGCATGCAGCTTTTGCTTTACCTATTAAATTGTCTTTAACTAATCCCACAAGCTGTCTCACTTTTATCCTTTTGATTTTCTCCTCCATCCCACTTGGTGGGGAGTGAGCAAGCAGCTGTGTGAGGATTAGTTACCTACCAGGGTTAAAGCACAACACATAGAAAAACAGAAGAGAATGTATTAGCTAGTTTTGGAGTTATAGAGATCTATAAAATACTTTCAATTTTTAAGTAACAGAGCAACAAATAGAGTAACAGAAAAAAATAGGTGAAGGAGAAAAAAAAGAGGAGAAAGGAAAAAAGCAGGAAAAAAAGAAGGGAAAGAAAAATTGCTCAATAAATATGTTACTAGTAGTCTAAAGTAGCTTTTGGATAACTGAATGAGAAAAAAAAAAAAAAAAAAAAAAATATGAGAAAAAAAAAATGTGCTTAATAGTCTTTGAGACTTGATTATATCTGTGAGAATATAACACCTGAAAAAAAATCTGTATCTGCCTGTCCTATCTAAGAAAAGCAGTTCATTTTTCTCTCCCTTATCCTTTACTTCCAGAGTAGTTATTTGTGTTGTACTGATTCAATTATATTAAGCTGCTAGTATTATTTTTCTTCTGAGTTACTAAGCAAGCAGTTAGCATTCTCAGACTTTTAGGCCAAAGTCTTTTTATCCCTAAAGACCAGAGAAGGAATTCTGACAATCTGTCATATGTCATGGAAAATTATTAAGTGTAATCAGACTGATTTAATCATTTGCAGATTATCTTTAGGAGTCTCTATAGTAGGTAGATATCACAATGTAGAACATGAAAAGAGTATTAAGAAAGGCAGATGCTCAAAAATAATGTGAATTGAATTAGTTATCCAATTAGCATGCCATCATAAAGTAAATTATATGCTTATGAAGGAATATATGTTATATTATTTAATTTCAGGGTCATTTAAAAAAAATTTTTTAATTTTTATTGTACATCCATGAGTAAAGTGAATGAATACTTGACATCTGTTTTCATATTAGACAGGTTGCAAACATATGCACCTTTCTTTTACATAGTCTCCAAGCAAGAAATCAGAAGACAGAAAATAGCGAATATCTGAAATTATACACTTAAGAATCTTCAAGTTAAATATACTGAAACTAGAAGCTAAAATGAACCTTTAAATTACCTCATATGACAGCAAACAGCGTAAAACATTTTGCATCTGATATGTATTTATTTACCCACCCAGTTCATAGGGAAGTTCCACATTATCACCAACAAGCCATTAATTAAAAAAAAAAAAAAAAGTTTGGGCTTTAAAGAAACACTGAAATTGTGTACCGAGGAGAATGGAAGTTGGACGATCTGCATCTGTAATACTTATTCACAGAAATTTCAGCTATTAAAGTTTTCTGTTTATGTCTTTGAAAATAAAATACCTGTGCCAGGTAGAAGGTAGACTTCATTTCTGTGCTTCACTTCATTCTGTGGTTGCTAAAAGGCAGATGTGATTCTAAAACGATATTTTAGGATCTATATACACAGAAAATGGTATTATTCTTCTCTGCAGATTTGTAGATTTTCTGTTTATCTAGGTTCAGTACAGCCAGTTTGGGGGCTTCCATTTTATCACCACAGGTGAACATCAGCAGTGTTTATTCATCCACACTGGCCTTACCATCTACCTTTAGCTGGGCTGTGCTTAGTGAGAAACAGAGTGCCTCTGCAGGTGGGGGGAAAATATTCTAGGACCATGTCCACTGGGAACAGTAGAAGGATGTAGGATTATACACAACGGTAATGCTAGTTCACTTGGGAACATGAACTACAAGAGAAAAATAAATAAAATCAGCATGGTCACCTACTGACACCAAAAAGTCTCATCTGTCCTGAAAGAACACTACTAGTAGCCATGGTGACTAATCCAGTGTTAGTCCCACTGTGTATAAACACAGACACTTCTAAGAACCAACTCCCCAATGATAACTGACCACATATTTGATAAAAAGATACGTCACAGATTGCCCTTCGGTAAGCTATAAATTTCTGTTTCTTTTTATGTCTCTAATTTGTAACAAAACCTATTTTTAAGATAGTGATTTTAAAATAAAGGGTAGTTACCCTTAAATTCTGGGCTCAATAACTGCTAAATTGTCAGTAATTATTAATTTGGCTGCCACTTAAAAACAACAACTCTGCAAGAGGTTCCATTTCATGCGGTGCTTTTCTTTTGATATGTTGCTTGTGAAAATTTTCTGTGTGAGATTTGTTTAACAAAGCTAGGTCAGATACCTGTCTCAAATCAAACCAACCTGTTCTATCAAGCTATTTTCAAATCTGTATCAATTGTAGAATTTCAACTCTAAATTTTTCAAATTCAGTTTTGATTACAAAAGAAAACAAATCAGTCATTTAGTAACTCAGTAATAGAGGTGGCTGATTATTGAAAAATGAAATAATGCCTAACTTTTTATTTGAATAAAGACAAAATTTCACTGGAAATATTCAAAAGTTATGACTTCAAATTTTCTAGGCTTGAATACAGAAATATTTATTTCCTGAAATGTTTACAGAATAATTCCAAATACTTGCAAAAATGTGTATTCATTGCTCAAGTTGTTGTATGGCCACAGATACTTTGCCTGTGAGAATGCTTTTATTTACTTGAAGAAAGGAGAAAAAGCACATTTTATGGAACTGATAGCAATCATTAAATACCAAGTAGAGGTTTTAGGCTTTTTTTTTAAAGTCATAATCATGGTAAGTAATGTAATGACCAGTCCATAGGCTGAAAAATGCCTGATAAAATATTCCCTGAGTAATTCTGAAAAAGTTCTAAAATCTAACACACATAATTAGAAAATTAGTGAAAAGCTAGATTTGTTGAAATTATATTTTCACAGAAAGGTTGGAAAGGACCTCTGGACTTCCACCTATTTTAAGGTTGCTACTCAGAGCAGGGCCAACTGAAGCAGATTGCTTAGGGCCATTCCCAGTCAATTTTTGAGTGTCTGCAAGGATAGAGATTTACAGCTTCTTTTGGAAACCTGTTCCATTGTTTGATCACATCCCTATGGTAAGTGTTCTGTTACATTTAGGTAGAATTTTCTGTATTTCAATATGTGCTCATTGCTCTTGTCCTGTCATGGCATATTGCTGAGAAGAATCAAGGTCTATCTTCTTTTCTCACCCCATGAAGTATTTATTTAACCACAGTGATATTATGTCCCCTCCCTAAGTCCTCTCTTCTCCAAGCTAAATCATTCCAGATTTCTCACCATTTGCTCATATGACAGATGTTCCAGACCTTCAATCATCTTTGTGGCCCGGTGCCAGATTGGCTCCAGTAAGTCAGTATCTTTCCTGCACTGTCAAGCCCATGTGGACACAGTACTGCAGATATGACTTTACCAGTGTTGAGGAGAGGGGAAATCTCATCTTCAGCTTGCTGGTGTAGCTCTTTCTAATGCAGTCCAGGGTGCTGTTGGTCATCTTTGTTGCAAAGGCATATTGCAGGCTCATCTTATTCTCCATCAAGACTCCCTGATGTTTCCAGTGCTGAAGACTAGAGAAAATGTGGACCCTCTCCTGAAGGAAACAGTAGACCTGGTTACCTGGGTTATGGAAAAGACTGAGGTACTCAATTGATTTTTTTTCCTCAGTCTTCACCAGCACGTGCTTCAACCACACTACCCAAGTCGCAGAAAGCAAAGGAGGGACTGGGAGCATGAAGAACTGCTCACTGCAGGAGATCAGGTTTGAGACCATCTAAGGATCCTGAAGGTGTACAAGTTCATGAGACCTGATGAGATGCATCCATGAGTCCTGAAGTAACTGGTGGATGAAGTGGCTAAGCCACTATCCATCCTATTTCAGAAGTTGTGACAGTCTGGTGAAGTTCCTGCTGACTGAAAAGGGAAAATATTACCTCCATTTTTAAAAAGGGAAAACAGGAAGATCTGGGGAACTTCAAGCCAGTTAGTCTCACCTCTGTGCCCAGCAAGATCATGGACCAGATCCTCCTGAAAACTATGCTAAAGCACATGGAAAATAAGAATGTAATTGGTGACAACCAACATGGCTTCACTAACAGCAAATCATGTCTGATGAATTCGGTGGCCTTCTATGACGGGGTTGCAGCACTGGTGGATAATTGAAAAATGACTGATGTCATCTACCTGGACGTGTGCAAAGTATTTGATACTATCCCACACGATATCCTTGTCTCTAAATTGGAGAGTCATGGATTTGATGGATGGACCACTTGGTGGATAAGGAATTGGCTGTATGGTTGCACTCAAAGAGTTGCAGTCAATGGTTCAGTGTCCAAGTGGAGAGCAGTGATGTTCCACAAGGATCGGTGTTGGGACCAATTCTGTCTAACATCTTCGTTGAAGACATGGACAGTGGGATGGAGTGCACCCTCAGCAAGTTTTCCGGACACCAAGCTATGTGTTGCGGTTGACACACTGGAGGGAAGGGATGTGCCATCCAGAGGGATCTTGACAAGCTTGAGAAGTGAGCCCCCACGCAAACCTCATGAAGTTCAACAAGGCCAAGTGCAAAGTTTTGTACATGGGTCAAGGCAATCCCAGGCAAAAATACAGGCTGGGCAATGAAGGATTGAGAGCAGCCCTGCAGACAAGGACTTGGGGGGGTGTTGGTGGATGGAAAACTGACTATGATCCAGCAATGTGTGCTCACAGCCCAGAAGGCCAACTGTATTCTAAGCCGCATGGAAAGAAGCATGAACAGCAGGTGGAGGGAGGTGATTCTCCCACTCTACTCCACTCTCGTGAGACTCTCACCTAGAATACAGCATCCAGATCTGGACTGATACATCTAAAAGGATAAGTGATGTGTTTGGGAAGTGAATTAAAAAGTCAATATTTTAATATCTGGTTTTATTTATGAAGGCCAAAACAAATATTGTATGGTTAGGAACAATTGCTTAGTTTCTGGTTCTATATGCACAGCCTTCATTGCAAGAAAAAGTTAAGCGTATTCACGTGCAAAATATTGCTTTTCCTACTTAATGACATACTTCCTGTTAAGTTCTGAGATCATTTAGAGATATACTTATCACTTTCCTTTAGTATAAGAGATATCTAGTTCAACTTCCGAATTCCGGGCTGACCAAAAGTTAGAGCATGTTATTGTTCAAATGCCTCTTAAACACTGACAGGTTTGGGGCATTGGCAGCCTTTCTAGGAAGGTTGTTCCAGTGTTTGACCACTCTGTCCATAAAGAAATGCTTCCTAATGTCCAGTCTTTACCTTCCCTGGTGGAGCTTTGAACCATTCCCATATATCCTATCACTGGATCCCAGGAAGAAGAAATCAGCACCTCCCTCTCCACCTCCTCAGAAGGTTCAGAGAGCAATGAGGTCAGCCACAGCCTCCTTTTCTCCAAACAAGACAATCCCAAAGTCCTTAGCCACTCCTCACAGGACATTCCTTCTATGCCTTTCATCAGCTTTGTTGTCCTTTTCTGGATGCATTCAAGGACCTTCACATCCTTCTTAAATTCTGGGGCCCAGAACTGCACACATTATATATTGGAGACAAACATTTTAGTAGGGCTTGTTGTGATAAGACAACGTGTAATGATTTTAAACTAAAAGAGGATAGATTTAGTCTAAATATAAGGAATAAATTCTTTACAAAGAGTGTGCTGAAACACTGGAACAGGTTGCCCAGAGCGGTGTAGATGGCCCATCCCTGGAAACGCTCAAAGTCAAGTTGGATAGGGCTCTAACAACCTGATCTAGTTGACAATGTTCCTTTTCCCTTTTTCAGTCACCAGAGACTTCACCTGATGGCCATAACTTTTCAAACATTATACAGAGTGGCTTGGCATCTACATCAGCCAATTCCCTCAGGACTCTGGGATTCATCTCATTGAGTCTTACGTATGTTCAGGTTCCTCAGGTGGTCTTCTCTACAGTGAAAGGGGCTTTGCTCCCCCAGTCCCTGTCTTGTGGTCCATCCATTTGAGAGGTGTGGGAAGAGAGGTTGACAGTGAAGACTGAGGCTAAAAATTTATTGAGTACTTCAGCCTTCTCCTCCTCTGTTATTACCAGTTTGCCAGTTTTGTTCATCAGGGTGGGTACACTTTCTCTGACCTTAATTTTTGTGCCTATAGAAGCCTTTCTTATTATTCTTTGCATCACTTGCAAAGTTCAACTGTAACTGCACCTTGGTCTCCCTGACCCCATCCCTACACAACCTATACTCTTTCCAGTATACCTGTCCTTGCTTCCACTGCCTATGCATCTTTCTTGCCCTTTAGTTTGATCAGCAGGTCTTGATTCATCCATACTAGTCTATTTTCTTCCCTTCCTGATTTCTTACACCTGGGGATAGAGAGCTTGTGTTCTCTGTGGAAAGTATCCTTAAAGATCTGCCAGCTCTCCTCTACTCCATTGTCCCTGAGGGCAGTTTTCCACAGAGTCCTATTGACTAATTGCTTGAACAGCTGGATATGAAATACTTCTGTAGGGTACTCATTCAGGGTACTTGGTAGCCAT